AGCCCTAGCCATTGGCACCAGCCCTCTTTCCTCAGCTCCGCCCGTATCCTGGCAACCCCACACCTCACCTGTGAGCCCCACCCTTTTCTCCTGTCAGCCCTGCCGCTCCATCTTAGCCCCTTCCCCTTATTCAGCCCCATCCTAACCCCTCAGCCCCGCCCCTCACCTCGGCCCCGCCGTCAGCCCCGCCCCTCAGCTCCGCACCTGCCTCAGGCCCGCCCCTCTCCACAGAAGAACGAGTACCTGCTCACGGTGGTGGCGGAGGAGAGCGACGCGCTGCTGCTCGGACTGCGCTACTCGCCCACCCAGATGCATTTCCTGTTTCTCAGCGAGGACGCTGCCGGCGCCTGGCAGACGCGCGTGCCCTTCCGCAGTCCGGCCCTGGTGGATGGCCAGTGGCACACGCTGGTCCTGGCTGTGTCCGAAGGATCCTTTTCCCTGACCACGGACTGCGGCATCCCCGTGGACATGTAGGTACCAGGGCACTCTGGGTGCTGTGAGCGTGCCTGACCGCCTTTCCCAGTGACTTTACTGTGCAGTGTAGCCAGGCCCCATGGCAGAGGTCAGGAGCTGTCCACTGGGACAGGTGGTCCTGAGAGCTCTGGGCACTGGTCAGACACCACCTCTGCCCTCTAAGGGGCCTCAGTGGGGCGGAGCAAGAGACACGTGTCCAGGTCACACCAATGCGGCCACCAGTCTGAGAGCTGGAGAGAACTGGAGGCAGGAGTAGGGGATAGCTGACGCCTACCAGAAAGTGAGCTGAAAGAGGCTTTCCCGCTGGGCAGTGCTCATACCCAGGCGTTCGCGAACCATGTGCTCGCATCACAATCCAGCTTTTAATGTCTCTTCATGTCTTAAACAGCAAAGCTCAGCAAAGAACCAGTGGCTTATACTACAATAGATACATGCACCACAACAGCACTCCCGAGACTCTACAAACAGCCCGGGGATGTGGCAAGGGGATGTGCACTAGAGAGTCGTGTTATCTCAAAGGTACAAGGAAAACCACACCCCACTACCCTGGCCTGAGGCCCAGGTGGTGAGTAACTTCCAACATGGCAGTTTCCTAACTGGGCCAAGGGAGTAGTCATTAATAGACACTCCAAATGATTGTAGAATCATCCCCTGGAGTTCTGGACACACCAGGGATATCTGGAAGCCCAAATTCATGTCCCATCTTTGTCCTCTCTGGTTTCTATGGCCTGGCAGAGAGTTCGCTGCCCCAGTAGCAGTGGGTCCTCAGAGCTCGGCTGGTTGATGGTACCTCAATGAGCCCTCACAACCTATCACTGTGGATGAGGCCGGCTCATCTTTTTTTTTTTTTTTTTTTCTCCAATAAGACATGTGTGCTCACCAGAGAGAGAGAGAGTGAGAAATCTCTCTCACCCCAGTGGGGATGACTGTGTTGTGATCCCTTCTCTCCTATTCTCCTCTTGAGATATTAGGTATACATGCACACATGCCCAGCATGATTTTCAAACCACTGGGTCCAGGACTTGAGCCAATCCCCAACACCTGCTGGCCCCCGGTCTTCCATTTTATTAAGATGTTTTTGCTTAGGGCACATGTGCTCTCTAGAGAGAGAGAGAGAGAGACAATGAGAGAAAAAGTGGGAAATTACTCCCCAGGGGGAATAGCCACGTCACAATCCCTTCTCCTCCATTCTCACGTGCAGTAAAATGCACGTGGCATAGAACATGCACGCACACACGCCCAGCATGATTTTCAAGCCACCAGGTTCAGGACTTGAATCACAGACAGCTGTGTGGAAGTCCAGCGACATAACTGCTACATCATCTGCTGACCCCCAGTCTTCTTTTTTAATTGTAAATGATCCAGTCTATATTAAATTTGTCATTATTTATCATATTATTTTCAATAGTAGAATCGTCATCTTTTTTTTATTATGAAACATAATAAAAAGAATCCTTACCCTTTATCTACTTAGTTGAAGCACATCTTTATCACAGCCAATCTTCCAACATACCCCACCATTCATGAGGGCCCTAATAAGGGCAATGACTTCTCAGGGTGCAGAAAGCCAGGTTCACTGTTGTGCTGAGAGGTGATATACAAGCTCAGAGGCATCTGAACCAGCAGTGGCTTCCCAGCATCACAGAGAGGGTCAGTTTCGCTGGATACAGATGCCACCTGGCTTCTAGTTTTGCTAGAGCACCTGGGAATGATGGGGCAGCAGTGCCCACCAGGTTCGGGCCTTGAACCCAGTTCACCATGTGGGAGTTCAGCAGCATAGCTGCCATGCCCTCTGCTGGTCCTTCACATGGTTTTAAGAACGGCCTTCATGGAGGAGGTTTTAGGAAATGGGGCTCTCCAAGTTGGGGGAGCTCATCACTATGCTTATTTCTCCAGGAAGAGCAGCCACAGTGAATAGGGGCTGGACACCCCAAGACTAGGGCCTGGCTGATGGCAACTGCCCCAGCTCCTGCGTGTCCTCCAGGGTCTCAAGGAGAAATGCGTCCTGATAGATTCAGCTGCCATCAGGCCATAAATGACCCTGTTGTGGGGGAGGCTGCAGGTGGCCCACCTGAAGGAGATGAGGAACCAGAGGCTAGAGCCCATTTTGGCCATGAGACAATTAAGGACCTTGCGCTTCCTGGGCACTGCAGGCTGCTTGAGACTCAGGGCACCAGGGAGCTTTGGAGCCAAAAGAGACTGCACTGGGCACCGAGGACGGTGCCTTCTGGGACTGCAGGTCAGGAGCTGAGCTTACTGCACCAGCTGCACCCAGATAACACAGACTGAAAGGAGCAATTGTCTCACATCTTGACTGGGAGGTGGGCCCTGAATGCACCTCACTCTTCTGTCCAGAAGCTCCAGCCAGGTACCCACCTTCTTGCCCAATTTTTAGAACCCAGCCTCCATCCAGAGGATCAGCTCTTCCTGACACCTCACAGGTCACTACTAGCAAGGCACTTCTCCCCTGCTCTGAAGCCATCTGTCCCTCCTCCCCAAGCTGTGACAGTGCAGGAATCCAGTGGAAGGTGGGTGGGCTGGAGGCCCCCATGTAGGTGGAAACTGCTGGAAGTTCAGGAGATGGAGAAGGGCCTCTAAGTACCTTCTTACCATGCACTTCTCAGAAGAAACTTGTCCTGGTGCAAAAGACCCAAAAGTCATCTTCACCCTCTATCTGTGACCTCACTTGGCAACAAGGTCTTTGCAGAAATAATCGAACCAAGATGAGGTCACACCAGAGCAAGGCGGGGTTCATCGAAATATGACTGGGGTCCTTATAGGACAACGATACAGAAATAGAGACACAGGGAGAAGGTCACAGGAATAAGGGGCAGAGACCAAAGACACCAAAAGCCAATAGACACTGGAGGAGTCAAAGAAGGGTCCTCCTCTGGAGATTTCTGCACAGTGTGGCCTTGCCAGCACCATACTTTCAGCCCTTAGCCTTCAGAACCATGTACGAATAGATCTCTATTGCTGGAACTGCCCAGCAGTGCCGTGTTACAACACCCCAGCACACGTGTGCACCTCCCGGGTAGGGCTTGCTCTCTCCATTTCCAAGCACACATCCACCCTCGCTACTCCTTGTTTCCTGCTGTGTCCGCAGTGTCTAGAGCCCTCCTGACACAGAGTAGGAGCCTTGATGCATGCTCTGGTGTTTTCAGAATGGCTGATGTGCCCTTCCCAGCCACCCTGTCCGTGCAGGGGGCTCGGTTCTTCATCGGCAGCAGGAGGAGAGCAAAAGGCCGGTTCACGGTGAGTATGGGCACAGCCCTCCCAGCAGCAGTGCTCACGGGGCTGTGCCTGGGCCTGTTGTCTGCGTGCTTGGGTTTGGCAGGTTATGGGCTGTGCTGATGGGAAGAGGGTCATGCGGGAGTAGGGAGTCTCTGCTGCAAGGCCTGGCACTTGCCCTCCCTCCTAGCACACTTTTCCCTGGTGCCCTTGGGTCCCTGCTCTCTCACCAACGACACCTCCACCCACCACCTGGCAAGATGGTGCCCATACCCAGCCCTCTCAGCCCTTCCCCTGTGTTATCTTTCTCTGTAGCACTGACCCTCTCAGGTATGTTTTCTCACTGCCTATCTCCCTCTGGGGCGTAATGGAGGACCTCATTGCATGAAGGTAGGTTCTGTGTTCTCTGCTATGACTGCAGTGTGTAGAACCCTGCCTAACACCTTGTAGAACTCTGAATATTTATGAATGAGTGCTTGGATGGATAGATGGAGGGGTGGGTGGATAGACAGGTGTATAGATGGATGGATTGATAAATGGATAGACAAAAGGATAAACAGATGGTTGGGCAGATGGATAAATAGACAAATGGATGGATGAGTGACGAATGGATGGACAGCTGATAATGGATGGGTGATGGTTGAATGGATGAAGAGATGGGCAGATGGGCAGATGGATGGATGGACAGATGGATGAACAATTTCACTCTAAGTCCACACGGAAACCCCTTCCTTGGCTATTGACCTCAAAACAGTGTACATTTCCCCACCATCACTCGCAGGAGGCTTCCCAGTGACCATCACGCAGCCTCTACCTCTCCAAGCTCTGCTGGTGGAAGTGCACACACCAGACCCCCTCCCTCTGGGGATCCAGTGGTCCTAGCACCTCCCCAGTGCCCCAGGGTCTGAACAAGCTGTCCGTCTCTCTGCAGGGCCTGGTGAGGCAGCTGGTCCTGCTGCCCGGCTCAGATGCCACCCTGAGGCTGTGCCCCAGCAGGAA